TGATCCCAGGGTCCTGGGATTGAGCTCCAGATCGGGCTCCCTGCTCAGGGGAGAGCCTGCTTCTCCTGCTCCCTCGGCTGCTCCCCCTGCTCATGCGCATGCTCTCTCTGTCAAATAAATACATAAATAAAAATCTTAAAAAGAAAAAAAAAAGGAAAGCATCTTCCACCAGGTTAGACCTTGCGGGGGAGGAAGGGATGGGTTTGTGTCTGGGTACAACCCTCCACAAGGGTACTGACTGACAGAAGTTAAGCAGAACAGTGAGAAGCCAGTGACCACAAGAGGGAAATGGAACGTCAAGACTGAAGAAATAAACATTCAAGAGGAATGAAAGCTGGCTCCAAATATTAAAACACAGGCTGCGGGGCCCCATCCCCAGAGGTTCTGATTCAGCAGATGTGAGTGGTCTTGGAATTTCCATTTCTAAGTTCCTAGGGGATGTTGATATGGCTGGTCCAGGGACCATACTCTGAGAACAAGTGCCCCAACCAAAAACAATTGTAATTCAGAAAAAAATATGTATGTATTTCTGAGATTTTCCTAAGATACCATGACCAGTTCCCAGTAAGCCCAAATTAAGGAGAATTTACTGGTTTTAAAAGCCCACACAGGGGCGCCTGGGTGGCTCAGTCGTTAAGCGTCTGCCTTCGGCTCAGGTCATGATCCCAGGGTCCTGGGATCGAGCCCCGCATCGGGCTCCCTGCTCGGCAGGAAGCCTGCTTCTCCCTCTCCCACTCCCCCTGCTTGTGTTCCCTCTCTCGCTGTGTCTCTCTATGTCAAATAAATAAAATCTTAAAAAAAAAAAAAGCCCACACATTTATTTTGAAGATTATGCTCTTTTTAAAATTTTATGTTGCTAAACACAAGTTCCGCCTTTACTTCTGACCCTTAGCATTTCTTATGAGTTCAGCTTCACAAAATTTTGTTTCTGCGCTGCTTCATTTTCTGACATTTTATACGGCAGACAGTCTCCCTCTGGTCTTCTTCCATGCCTCCTGTACTGGAGTATTACATTCAGCAAGTCAAGCTTCATTACATATTAAAATGTGACCTGTTTTTATCAAGTGGTTTCTGGCTTCCCACATCTTCTAAAATAGGAAATATTGATCCAGTCCTTTCCCCCAAGAGCCCACACTGAACCCATCGTGCCCAGGGGCCCTTTAGGTCTCAAACCAGCTGCATTCAATTCCTGATTAATTTTATTTGATCTTATATACTTGTAGCTTTAGTCTTTCGATCCCAATAGGAAAATTACCAGCATATGGAATGCATATAAAATGACATGCAAAGCAATGCAAATTAATACAAACCATACACCTCTAAATTGCTTGGGAAAAGTCTCCAAGCTTTGACATTGATATTATCTGCTTTGCCTCTCTACAGTCTGGTGAGCAGTGACCAGATTCTTTTATTAGCATTTATTTTTGATGGCCCCCAGCACCGGACACTTGGTAGCATGCTACATGGAAGAGGTGCCTCTGCCTGTGAGTCAGGCAAATGGAGTCCAAGACTTAACTTCGCCGCCATTTGGTTCTATGGCCTTGTACAAGTTCTCGCAATTCCCTGGTTCTCAGATCCTACATCTGGAAATGATGGAAGTGACATCATCGTAATAGAAACCACCAGCACTTGGGCTTACTGAGCACCCACCAGAGGCTGGCACATTGCACGCCCATACTTGTGCACACACGCGCATAGCATTTACACATTGCGCATGCACGATGCACACATGCTGTCCTCCCAACAGTCGTGGACAGGGTACCATAAAGATGCACCGCACAGGTGTGGCGCCACTTCGGGGATCAGGAAGCTCGGACAAGGCCACAAGCGGGGCAGTGGCATGGCCAGAAGCCAGGCCTCCGCAGTCTGGCTCCAGGGCCCCTCAGCCATGCTGCAGCTTTGTGGCATGATTCCCACCCATGTCTTCCCAAACGCAAAGTTTGCCTAACCTACAAAGTAAAAATTCAAATTCCACGGTCATATATGCTTCAAAATATTGTTTCTGTAAGATGGTGATAGTTAGTTATGTGAGTTTGATATCCCAATCCAGCACAATCAGGCTGTTTTTACCTAAAAGGACTCCCGATATCCTTTCCTGCCCACTCGCTCCATCCCATTCACATATATATTATGTGCAAGGCTCTCTCATCTTAAAAAAGCCTTCCCGCTGTCCTGCCTCTCCCTTGAGGAGTGGCTTCGGGGAGCTAAGTGTGGAGGCTGCCACCGGTCCTGGGCCCACACCGTGCCCCACTCCACGTAGGATGCTGGCTCCCACATGGGCTTTGGTTGACACTCTCACCCCTCCCCACGAAGGCAGGGGCTCTGTGACAGGCCCGCACCCCTGTCCCATCCACCCTAGGCTTTAAATAGTGCCCCAACACAGATGGCCCCCACTTGTCTGGAGCATCAGCCGGGGTCTGGAAAGCAGCTCAGACTCAACCAACCAAATCTATCTTTCCTCCAAAATCTGCCCCTCGTCTAATGTTCTCTTTTTTGTAAATGGCAGCAACATCTGCCCAAACCTGGAGGGACTCGCCCTGCCCTCTGCTACACAGAAGTAGCCACCAAGTCACTCCAGAGTTGGCCTTGAATCTTAGCACTTGTGTAACCGGCTCAGCCTAGACCACCGGCTACCACCGGCTCAGCCTAGACCACCAGGCCTCTCACACCCTTGGAACAGTCCTGTTCACCTTCCGGGCACCTCAGATCCATTCTCACACAGCAACCTCAGTGTTTTGAATGGAAATCTCAGCAGGGTATCTCAGGCGTGAAACTGTCCAGAGGATGAATTCCACAAAATGGCCCCAAGATGTGGTCTCATCTCATCTCACCTGTGCTACTCTCCCTTCATGTCAGACTGGACCTCTCCATTCCATGAACTCTCTGCTAGCCCTCTTCTGTCTTAGGGCACACAGTTCCCTGGGGGGAGAAAACTCCTTTTCTCCTTCTCCTCCCCGCACTTAGTGTAAGCCCTCCTACTCATCCTTCAGGCCCACCTTAAATCTCCCCAAGAAGGCCTCCTGCCTCTACCCCAGACTCAGCACACCTGTGCTCCCACAGCACCCAGCACTGGCCTGACCCACAGTAAGCTTAGCTCAACAAATTTGGACTCATGAATTGACTTTTCAGCCCTGCATCACATAATCTATCTTGCTGTTTTCTTCCTGCCTCCCAGCCAAGGAGGAAACTCTTTGAAGTAGACACAGTTACACTTCTGGTAGGGGTGCTAAGATACACCCCAGGTCACCATCTCATACTCCCCAAACTAGCTCCAGGAGTCACTGATTCTCACAGGAGAGAGCAGAAGCTGGGCACCGTCATATATACTCTACTTGCCCACCTCCCCGTCCCCCATGATCTGAGTTCATTCCAAGTCAGACTGATAACTATTTACTGTCTGCCTGTCTTGAGGGTACTTATTTAGCATTATGCCATCAAGTATCAACTTTGACTTACTCCCGAATTATGCTATTCACCCCTACCTACCTCTGGTGATTATTGTGGCATTTAGCAAATTACTGTAAACATGGGAATGAGTACAAGTAATAAACAGGAGAGAATCACCCCCCCCCATTCCCCTATCAGTTTTCCAAATTCAGTACCATACAACCAAATTCTTTGGCTACTGTTTCTATGCCAATAAAGAAGATAATTGAACAGCATCTTAATTGGTCATTTCTCAGACAGTATTGGATCCTTAGAAAGTGCAACATAGGAAATGTTCTCTGCAATAATTCATTTATTTTTTAAAGATTTTACTTCCTCAAGACACTGTCAACAGCTTCTGTTGACAGTGTCTTGAGGAATGGAAGATCAAAAAGGGTGACTTCTATGCCTACCAAACCGCATGGATACTTAATATTATTCCTAATTCCCTTAATATTCCGGTTCAATTTTACGGATAAGAGGAAAGAACAAGGGCCTAAGGGCTAACACCACCTCTTCGCATACCCAGTAAGGGGGCAAAACACAAGTTTCCCAGGCTACAACGACCCAGAAAACCGCCCCCCAAGACAGAGCACTTAGTTCTAAAATTTACCAAGCAATACCAGCTCACTCGCACTGTTAGCCTAAGTAAAGATGATAAACTGACTTGAGAGTCCAGATCTCTTGGCTCGGATCCTCGGAGGTTTCCAGCCAGCCGGAGAGGCGCTGCCACCTCGCCAGGGGGACGTCCCGGTCAGCTCTGCGGCATGGAAACTTGACCTTAAAAAGCGCAGAAGCTTGTCCCTGGGAAGGCACCGCCGGGAGGTCTGTCCCACAGCTTCCGATCAACAAACTGGTAAGACCCCCTCCCCCCAAGCACCTAGTTCTAATGGAGAGGCCACTGGCGCAGCCCATTCCCGAGCGCCTCATCCCTCTCCCGCCCACTCGCCTCCCGCCCACCAGGGGCGAGGACGCCCACGGCCCGGGTCTCGGGCAGCGTCGCTGGGCCCGGGGCTGGGGCCAGGCTGGCGGGCTAGTCGGGAAAAGCGGGCGTCGCGACCTGCCCCTCGGCGCCCCTCACCTGAGCAGGTCTCTCTGGCCCTCGGGCCGGGAGGACTTAGACTGCCGGACCCCCGCCTCGGGAAAGGGCTCGTGCCCGGAGAGTCTGGGGAAACCCTGGTGCGCACACGCCGCGCGACTCCCGGCCGCCGCGCCGGTTCCCGAAGTTGCCGCGTCCGCTTGGCGCGCGGCGGGGTCGCCCACAGTAGCCCTCGGCTCCACCTGGGTGCCGGCGCCCTTCCTCCCCGCGCCCGGAGGCGCGCAGCCAGGCGGGGGCTCAGCCCGGGATCCCGATGCGGCACCCCGCGGCCGACGCCCCAGCCCTCCCTCACCCTCGAGAGCAGCGCGGCGCCCAAGTTTTCCCCAGCGGGAAAGTGAAAGTCTCGAGGAGGAGAGGGTCCGGGCGTCCGGGTACCCCGCGGCTGGGATCGGAGCCCCGCACCCGCCACCGCGGGACAGCTCTGCACCCCGGCCCCGGACGTTCCTCACTGGCCTGCGTGGCCAAGTCGACTTACGAAAGGGAGCAGGGGAGCCCCGAACGCGGGGTCCCCGCGGCTGCAGAGGCCACCCGGGCGGGGGCCGTGAGCTGCGCTCCGGGATCCCGGCCCCTCTGCTGCTGCCGCGGCGGCGGCGGCGGCGGCGGCTCGCTCCCGCCTCCTCCCCTTTCGCCAACTCGGCGGCGCGCCCTGCTAGGGACTTGCTCTCCCTCGGCCGGGGGTGGGAGAGCGCCGAGCGGCCCCCATGACGTGGAGAAAGGAGGAGCGCCGTCGCCGCGCTCCCGCAGCCGGAGCTCCCCCCCCCCCCGCACTCCGGGGTTCCCGCTCCACGTTTGGGACAAAGTTCTGAGGCGCGCGCGGTGCGCTACACTCCCGTCCAGCCGCGCGGCTCCCCGCCGCTGCCCTGAGTGTCACCCAGGTTCGGTTTCCTCCCCGCGGGAAACAGACAAGGTCCGAGGTCTGGAGACCTAAGAGACTGGCCCAAAGTCGCTCAGAGGGCGGTGACAAAGCAAACTTACATCTGCGACTCCTTGCTTTTCCCCAAGGCTGTGCTCTGTGAAGCGCTGGCCCTGCACCAATCGCCCGGCTCTCATTGGTGAGCCGAGGACAGTGTCCCACGCAGCTTGGCGAAATATCTAGGAACAGCGTGGGAAGGTGGAGGTTTATGGCCAATAAATTGGGTACAAAGTTGTTTTTCAATCAGTGCCTACATGCCAAATAGACACTCTAGGGCTTCCTTTTTACCCTAAAGCGGGGGTGAGGGCGGCAGCCTTGAGGGCGCAGGATCCGGTACCAACCCTGCTCACCGAATAACTGAATGAAAGCAAGCACAGACCTACTTAGCCAATTGGGCAGTATCTACGACTTGAAATATACCAATTTTGTGATGTGGACGTGATGCAGGCAGACTAGTCTGAGGACCCAGAATGGGGGTCCCACAGGATCAGCCAAGAAGGTTCTTCAGGCAAGATGGAAATCAAATGTTTACCAGGAGGAAGTGAAAACAGAGTTTATTGAATAGCGCGAGTGACAGAGAATAACAGAGAGAGTGTGAGTGGGAGATTCCAAAAGGGGAATGAATCTAGTGGTTGCTTGGGGTTAGGGATTTCTATTGGAAAGGGGTGCAGGGTACCTGTTCCTTCGGTAATCCAGGGTATGGTCCAATCGAAGGTGAGTGACAGGTGATTAATAGGTGTTATTTTATAAGTCATTGAAAGTAGGGGGTGGTGATGCCCGGGTCAGCCCAGGTTTGTTCAAAGCTAAAGCTTTTGGGATCTGGCTAGATGTTGTCAGGTGTTTGAGGGCCCAGTGCAAAACTCAGAGAATGATTAACTTTCTTGTTTCCCCCTTGGAGTGGGAACATAACTTCTCTGGTTTATTCAGATGCAAAAAATAAACATGAGTAAATGGGACCTAGCAGAAAAACAGCAGAGATGGAGCCCTTCTAAAAATGGAGTCTCTTCGGTTTTCCTGTTTCAGATGCTTTACCTGTGCTGGCAATTGCCGTACTTCCAGAAGTCTCCTGCCCTGCTCCTGTTCCTTTCAGGGCCAGAGGATCCTAGGCCCTGCCTTATAGAATAGTAGGGGCACGAGGCAAGTCAATCACAGCTAGTTTGTTCCTTCCTTCCTCTGTCAGTCTATGTTGACTAAGGGCCTGCTGTATGCCTGGCTGGTTGGTGGGGAGTCAGATAGGACCAGGCCCTGCCACCCCATGAATCCCAAATAGGGAGCACAGCATAGGACACCATATCCTTTACTCAAAGTATCCAGAGTCTGTCCACAGTAGTAGAAACGCTGAGACTACTCTGCCTTTTAAAAAATTCTCTGTGCCAGGGGAGCAAGTATTTTCAAGCAGACATTTTCAAGTAAATGGCCAGCTTTGCACTTACCTCCCTTTCCTGCAAGAGTCACTAAAGATCAGGTGATTCACCCTTCTGGTCTCCCTCATCTGCACAGGATGATGATGATGACAATAAAAGCAAGTGAGGCTTTTATCATCTATCTTGGGTGACATGCTAAGCAATTTATGTGGACTCTTTCAGTCCTCACAGAGTTAGGAGGGAGGTACCATTTCTCTTTCTCTTCTTTCTCTTCATTTTATAAATGAGGAGAGGAAGCAAGTAAAGCATAGTAATTTGCCAGTAAATGGAATAACCAGAACTCAGTCCGAGGTGCTCTCTCCCAAGTATCCATGCTGTGAACAACGGAGGGGGACGGAGGCCTCCAGCCTGGAAGTCAAGTGGTCCACCAGCCTACATCAGCCCCAGCTCACACCACGGGAGCTTCCAATGATCTCAAGCAAGGGGTGCTGTGCAATCCACACATAGGTTGATTCTATTATTTTGAATATATCCTATCATAAGTAGTTATCTCTTCATTCACCTGCTCCCCTGTCTCCAACTCCCAGATCAACCTTTTTGTCATAAAGCAAACTGTTTCTAATGAAGGGACCTTGAAAACGCCTTTAACATCAAGTTTGTAAACATTGTTTTGGATTGTTCTGTATTCAGACCATACCAGGTCTTTCCCCACCCTCTGCATTCACTGCCTTCAATGACTCCCTTCCCTTAAAACAGTGCCTCAGGTCTTTCGAAAGCCAACTGTCCAAGGCTGGATGGTGGCCCCAGAAGGCCTCTCCTACACTCTATAGCATGCTCAGCATTCCTGGATTAGTTTCCCAGGGCCGCTGTAACAAATGACCACAAACTGGGTGACTTAAAACAGCAGAAATGTATTCTTTCACAATTCTGGAACTAGAAGCCTGAGATTAAGGTGTTGGCAGGGCTGTGCTCCCTCTGAAAGCTCGAGGGAAGAATCCTTCTCTGCTGCTTCCTAGCTTCAGGTGGTTGCTGGCACTCCTTGGCATTCCTTGGCCTGCAGAGGCATCACTCCAGCCTCTGCGTCCTTCACTGTATTAGCCTTCTTTTTTTGGGTCTTTTCTGTGTCCAGATTTCTCTCTTCTTTAAGGATACCAGACATTGGATTTAGGGCCATCTTAATCTAGTAATGACCTCATCTTAACTCCATTACATCTGCAAAGACTCTATTTCCAAATAAGGTCATGTTCACAGCTTCTGGGTGGACATGAATTTTGGGATGCTGTTCAACCCAGTACCATCCCTAAAAGTCATTGTTAATGAAAATGTTTGCTTGAGCTAAGGATGCAAACAGATATAAATCACAGGCCCTACCCTCAAGTAAGACACTGTACTTACAGACATACTCTCTATACCCAGAACATAGTTAACCAGCAAGACAGGAGATGCTAAGAGCCAACTGACTGGGGCCAAATGACAATCCATGGGCCAAATGACAGCCATGCCCAGGAATTGAGCCAAGGGAACACAGTCACTGAGAACACCACTAAAGGACTTTACTCCAAGAAGAGGGTAATCTAAGCACGTCCTTGAAGGAAAGCAAAGATAAATCAGGAGGGCTTATCAAAAGCACAGCCCTTAAGGGGGTATGTGTGCCGGGCAGAATCTTACTTCTGAAATTTCATTGCAGACATGAGAGACTGAATGGTTGTGAACACCTACCATACGGAGTATAAGAACATGGTGAATTACTTTGGCTATAATAATAGTATGTTGTAATGCCATAGCAATGAGCATGCTTTAAAGTGCTCTTTCCTTTCATTAATTTCATTTGGTCTTTATGACAATCCTGAGTGTCATCAGAGAAAAGGACATCATATCTTACAACTAAGGGTTCTGGGGCTCAGCGGGGGCAAGTAATTTGCCCAAGTCAAAGAGCAAATCAGTTGTAGAATTGGTATGAAACACAATGGCCTCAATAGTCCTTGTTCAGGAATTTCCTTACCGAATGATGTTTCCCCCTGGGTGAGCCTTCCAGTACTGGTGTGTTGTTCTTGGCCCAAGGAAAGCATTTGAAGAACACGGTAATCCTGCAAGAAATGAAAAGCCTTCTTCAAAGCCATGTGAATTCCAAATTGGAATTGTGATAAACCTTCCCCAGACATCTGAATTGGTTTCACTAAAACTTCTGAGGATTTTTCTCTGTATTAAAGAATCTCTTTTGGCCTCCAGAGACATAATAGGATACAATGGCCTTCTGAAAAACTCAGCTGATTATCTTATGAAAATAGGGGTTTGAATGCAACTTGAAGGCACACAGAGACATCAGTGAGAAGTTGATTACAAAAGACCATAAATTATATCACAAAATGATAAGCTGGCAAAAACTGATAATCACAACTCAGTGTCTGATCTCATCAGTGCGGAGTCATGCACAGAGGACCAGTTCTTGGCATGTTTTAAAGACTTTCTAATAAGAATCTGTAACTGTGGCTAGCAGCTGGAAGCAAGCAGAAAGTCTAGCCTTGAGCTATCTGATGATTGAATGTGTTTTCCTGGATTTTCTTTTACTTAGTAAGCAGGTAACTTACTGCAACCTCTGCTGGTTGTCTTTAAACATATATTTAAGGATGAAATGCTTTTGAGTCTAGTGTGATTCACAGAGTTCTTGCTTGTGCAAAGTGCTACACTGGTTGCTATAGGAGAATACAAAAATATAAAAGTTCCTGACCTTGAAGAAATCCCATCTAATTCAGAAGATTAAAAATGGTGTAAGTGGGGCTGCAATGGAATTCTTTAGTGATTTATCACTCAGTTGTCTGTTCAGATGCAACTTCTCAAAACCAGGCCTTCACTTGCCACCTTTTTTAAAATAATGGCCTGCTATACCTTCATATCACCTTCTAGCCCTTTATCTTGCTCCAGGGCCTTTATGACATTGATCATTATCTGAAATGAAGTTGTTTGCTTGTTTACTCTGCTCCTAGACATAGTATCCACAAGGACATGGAATTGTCTTGTTTTTTGCTGTATTCCTAGCAACTAAAACAATGTTGGGCATATATTAGGTGCTCATTAAATATTTTTCAAACAAATAAAGTACATATTAATTAACTGAAAATGGACCAAGATAACTTGAATTAATGTATGTTTCTCATATTTGCCTGATAAGACTTCTATGGACATTTTGATTCAGGAAGCCTGGAGTGGGGCCCAGGAATCTGTATTCTTAAGAAACATCCCAACTGATTGTTTTAAAGAGGTAGTTGGGGAAACACGGGATTAATGCAATGATTGATGGTGGTTGGGAGAAAAAAGTGAAGTGACAAGACCAGTTTCCAGAGATCAGTGGCTGCTCACTGGAATCATCTGGGAGAGATGAAAAAAATCCTGGCAGCATAGACAATATTCCAGATCAAGGAAATTAGAATCTCTGGGGGTGGGGCCTGGATTTGGGCCAGGTCTTAACATTTACCGGGTGATTCTAATGTATAGCCAAGGCTGAAAAGCCCCTGGGATCTGCAGAAATATTTTATAAGTACTCCAAGTATACTACTAGGTTATGCTCTTGTTGCTTCCAGCTTCTTATGTCCCACAGCTGGAATCCTTGATCTCCTAGTCTAGAAGAAACATGTGCAGAAACTTACACAATAACCCCATTTGGGGAGAACTATAGTAACTTTTTGCTGTTGTTAAAAAAAAATGTTATTTAAAGCAACAACTGAATATAACCTCTTGTACTTCATGGCCAGAGCTGAAAACACCTACAATATATTGAAGGTGAGAAAGCCAAGGCCCCCTGGGCAGAGCCTAGGTAGTTAATAGAGAGCAAAAACACTATGCTTATAACAAAACGGGAGAATGCATAGGAGAATCCCGTTTCTCTTGAATGCCTAGAGAAAGATGACAGGTGGCCCAGGAAAGAGGGAGAAGGAGAAGATATGGAAAGAGTCTAGAGCAGTGGTTCTCAGTCCGACTGCATATTAAAGTCGCGTGGGGAGCTTAAGAACTTACTGATCCCCAGACTTGTTCTCAAAGATTCTATTGTAATAAGTATAGCGGTGTAGTGTGTGTGTGTGTGTGTGTGTGTGTGTGTGTGTGTGTGTGTGTGTGTGTG